TTTGAAGTTGCAAATGCTGTACATCTGATATAGAGGACTGAATATCATGATTATCTCTGGTTTCTCCTTCAATTTGCAGCAATGGTTCGACAATAGTAATTTTGGAATACGAGTCCCTATTATTGGTATCACTTGCAATGTCACGAATGGATATGTCGCTGTCTGAACTATATCTTATATTCTTTAACGTATCTATTGGTTCTAATATAATAGCTTGCATGCATTTATCTTGAATGATGTGTTTAGCGAGTCGTCTGTCTTTCAAGTTTTCCTCGACTTTGATTGCCTGTGATCTGTAATGTCTCATTTCTTCTTTGATGGTATCAGTCATCTGAAAACAACACAGTATTAACATAAAGCAATACTCCACGACTAAAGTTACTTTGGTAGCTGCATTGGTTAACAAATATTCACCATTGGTGGAAGAAGAGGTATCCCATTTATTTTCATACAAGAGATATAAAATTGTTTCCGCATGTTTTAGGTGCAATCTTAAGAATATGCTTTGTTGTAATCCACTAACGTTCCTGAAAGAAAATAAAATAATCAGATAATTATTTAGAATACGGGTACTCCCCTGAGATCTTAATAAAAATGTATTCATTCAACGCGTTTTCACTCAAAACGAAAAAATAGGGCAAAAAACGCGGCGGGCGGCCTCATGAATCGAGTTATTGAGCGTACAGGCTTTATAAGCTATTACTTAAGTTTTAAGTCTTAAGTCATAAAAAATTAACCAATCACATTTAATGGACCTTCTACAATAAGCCGCAAGTCAGAACGTCAGAAGTCTTAACCAGTCTTAATCAAATCGTTCAAGTTGGCTGTTGGCCAACTTCACCGATTATGACTTAAGATCGCTTAGAACTTCTGACTTGCGGCTTATTGTAGAAAGCCCATAAAGCTTAGGCAATGACTTATTGTAGAAAGTCCGTTATCAAAGTTCAGACTTTAGAGGTTAAGATATCTGTCATCCCTCGATACAGCTCTACGTATATTTCTGCTTTAATTACACAAATTCACTGCTTTAAAAACATAAATTCACTGCTTTACAAACACAAACTCACTGTTTTAAGCACAGAAATTCTTTTGCATTAATAACGAATTTGTTTTTAAAGCAATGAACTTGTGTTTGTAAAGCCTGTTCTACAATGTGCTCTTTGTTTCCCGTTTCTTGCTTTTTGCCTCTTGCTTCTTCCCCCTTTGTAATCATTTTATCGACAATTTGTATTTCTTGCTACGTGTTTCCTGTTTCTTCCGAAGTTCGTTATGGTTGTTCTACAATGTGCTTTTTGTTTCCCCCCTGTTTCTTGCTGTTTGTCTCTTGCCTTTTTGATCAAGAAGGCAAGAGACAAACAGCAAGAAACAGGAAACAAAAAGCCCATTGTAGAATTAGCCTAACTTTTATCTCGGGCGACATAAAACAAAAAACTGAATAAGAAGCAAAAAGACAAGATATAAAAAATAGTAAAAAGCAAGAAACAGAAAACAAAAATCACATTGTTGAATAACCTAGAGGCCTAGATAACAGAGATGCGACATTGCGTCGGTTGGGTTAGGTCGTCATCGTCAGTGAAGGGCTTC